AAACGGGTTAGCATAACTTCAACAAATGGGTGCACCCACTTCGGCAAGCGGGTCAGTTAAGAGTCTGAATTCGGACAATGTTTCATTGAGAATTATCCGGTTATCCTTATAGATTATCCGGATTTTGCCCAGCTCTACCCCGCGGTGACCGCACTGAGCACAAGAATTGAATCATCATGTTCTCCACGGATCCACCGTTGTCCTCAACAGAATTCTCAAAGTTATACCGACAACTGGCCTTTACTCAAACTCAATAAATTAAATGATGACTAAAAATGTAAATGGCCATTTTAACTACTAAAGTATTGTTAAACTAGCTGGGCCCCCTTTCGTTGAAAGGAATGATCTGTGCATTAACCTCAATTGAAAACCATTAGCCTACTATACACTCTACTGGAATGGAGCAATAAATCTTGAGAGAAAAGTGACACATTTCATGTGTTTCCAAGTTGCCAAATATATAATAGATGTATAGATTGATTGCTTCTCTCTCTATTCAACTTTTCTGCTTGTACACTCCAGAATTTTCAAATGTGTGGAACATTGCGCACGGCTAGTGAACGGAAACCTCACTTGTTTACAATGGCATCTTAGAAGAGGGAATTTCCCAAGATTACATCTAAACGAAACTGAGGAAAAACTGAAAAGTAAACTACAGTGACTTCAGGCCCCTCAATGAAACTGTGCACCCCTATAAATGATTCTGAACCAAAATTAATTTTGTCAAATTCGAAAGTTCAGTGGTTCGGAAGTTTTAGGCGGCGAAAGTGACGAACGTTCACAAATATAGTATGTATAGATGAGCTTATTTTTTAACGTGGGTTTTTCAAAATTCAACCTTTGCAACTTCACAAAATAAAATCTATACGTGCTGAGAACTAAAGTAAAAACAACCAGCTCGAACATGAGACCGTATGCAGTTACTAAACAGACAAATAAACAAACAGACAAATAAACAAACAGACAAATAAACAAACAGACAAACAAACAGACAAATAAACAAACAGACAAATAAACAAACAGACAAACAAACAGACAAATAAACAAACAGACAAATAAACAAACAGACAAA